TAGAATATACACTTTTTCATGTGATTAGGATTTAGGTACCCAATCGAAATAAGTGGTAGTAGAAGCAGACTCACACCTTTAGGAAGGGGTGCACGTGTACCCACTAACTTTAGAGAAAATCATATGTATAAATGTATCTGACATAAACTAGGATATAGTAAACAATGCACCCATAAAAAGCATAGGAATGCCCTTGTGTTGTTGGTAAACCACCCCTGAGACGCATTCCCTTATCTAAACTTGGTGGACATTCTTTCCAGCCTTAGGGTTTGAATTCAGCTAAAACACTTTTATTCTTTTAAGTCTTCAAATCATGAATTCGCCTCTGAGTGATAGTTAGATGTGCAAATAAAATTTAGACAAATTAAAGAGGATTCAGCTTTAAAATAAACAAAGAATATTTACTATGACTTGTTCTTAAATGCACGCGCAAATTACTTCACATCATGCGCTAAATTATCGCATTAAAAGTCGCAACTTTAGGAATTGGGATCCATGTTGGGATTGCATAATAGTTAACTTTATTCTTAGCCTTATCAAAATAAAATAATCACTAGTCACTTTATTCTTTTCGCCTCTAAAATATAGTAACAAAAGCACTTGTAATAAGAGAAATTAAGATCTCTTATCTACTACTCCCTCCGTCCTTATTTAGTTATCCATATTTCCTTTTTTAGTTGTCCCTATTTAGTTGTCCATTTTGACAAATCAAGAAAGGACAACAAATTTTTTCCTATTATACCCTTATTTAAATAAAGTTGTCATAAATAAAGTAAATAAACTTATGGACTTTCCAACATTGATTAGTTCTCTTGAGTGAATTTATTTTGGAATTGTAAATTGACTATAAGGATAAAATTGTAACTTCACTATGTTAATCATTGTTGTCTTAATCTGTGTGTCATTTCTAAAGTGGACAACTAAATAGGGACGGAGGGAGTAACAAATTGAACATAAAAAATTTATTTGTGAAAATTAAAAAAAATTATGAATATAACATTGATGATTTACAAAATCAATTGTCCTGTGACATAAAGTTGCCCGTGAACTCTCAATAATAAAAAAATTTACAAGGGACCAAAATTTAACGAATTGAAAATGTCAGTACTATTATATTCACTTCTAGGAACCAATAATCTGCTCCTTAATCATTAGAATTTTACCTTTAATTTATTGATCAATATTTAATTGCAATCTAAATTCTAAGCAATGGTTGAGCAGTTATACGAAAAGAATCTTAGCACTGGACCTACTCTATATTACTAGTACTTATTATTTATTAATGATCAGTTATATAATTCTCAAAGAGTCTGAGAATCTAACATTAATTCTTTTTATTAATTTACGAGCTAAATAAACCTACATATATATGGGTAAAAACATTAAGAAAAGAGAATTGGTCTTATAATTGAGTAACGGTTTTTATTATTTTTAATAAAGCATGCAATATTGATGGATTAGAAAATTAAAGATAGATTCATGTATCTAAAAAAGAAGGGTTTTATCTAATGAATATTTATAATTAATCATGAAAAATGACTCCTGATTTCCACAATCATTAATTGATATATACAAAAATAATATTCCATTAATATATCACAAATGTGACGTTAAATGTAATCCTTATTGCCTTATAAAGCATTTAATCGATTAATCATGCCAACTTTAAATGTCTATTTCTATATTATATTTTTCTAAATAATAATAATATTCGGCCATGTAAAAAGGTAAGTATTAAAAATAAAACTTTAAGTATATATAATTTTATCTAAAAAATAAATAACTAAAAAATGAAATGCTTGTATATATTTATATATAATAATGTATCATAGATCTACAACACAACATTATTTACTAACTCAAATTTCAAACTTCTGGCAACTGCTGATGACATATAGAATTATTTGTCTAAGATTTTTATTAGCATTTTAAATAGTAAAGTTCGAGAATAAAATTAAAGAGCAAAAAGAATGATGAAGTATAAGAAACAGTATAGCATCATATTAAATTATCCGTCCTCTCAAGAAGATTTTATTTCAGTATTGAATTATTGTTTATAAAGATTTAGTTACTGTTTCAATAATGAGCCAAACAGTAACATTTTCTGGAATTTCAGAATATTTTCTATTGTACATTTATTTGGTAGGTGGGGGGCTTTTATATGAAATTTTGACCTACGACAATTAATATTTGCTTCTTTCACGGATTCGAGCAGTTTCTAATATATGTGCGCACTTTATTTATTATTATTACGAAAAAGAGATGAAAACTACTCCCTCCGTCTTTTATTTAGTTGTCCATAATTAGTTGTTCATTTTGACAAATCAAGAAAGGACAACAATTTTTTTTCTATTATACCCTTATTTAAATAAAGTTATCATAAATAAAGTAAATAAACTTATGAACCTCCCAACATTGATTAGTTATCTTGAGTGAATTTATTTTGGAATTGTAAATTGTACTATAAGGGTAAAATTGTAACATCACTATGCTAATCATTGTTGCCTTAATCTGTGTGCCGTTTCTAAAGTGGACAACTAAATAGGGACGGAGGGAGTATATGATAATGGCAGGAAATTTTTAGCCTTTAATTTGAATAATTCAGAAAGAACATGTTGTTTCAATTTGATACTATAAAAAATTCTTGACTACTTGCATGGGAACAATTTCATCTACCAAAGTATTTTTCCTTTTCAATATTTTTTTATGGGAGCTTTAGATTTGAATATATGAGTTCGTTATAACTCAATAATTTTAGCCAAACAATATATATGCATTAACAAACTTACTAAATATGTACAAAAAATTAAATTTAAATTCATTTATCAACACTTAATTAAGTCGCTATATATAAAATCTATAAATAATCAAATCTTAGACGTGTCTTTTATTTTGTGCTTTATTACAATTAGGGAAAAGGGTCTAAAAAATACTCCAGTTTTGGCCGAAATTGTTGTTACGATATCAAATTTTATGGAGGACCTTTTACCCCTGTACTATAAAATAGTATATTTTAAAGATATATATGTGCCCATGTGGACACGTTACTATTTATAATTATGAAATATTTATGATGTCCTCGTGGGCACATATATACCTTTAAGATACACTATTAAATAGTGCAGGAGGTAAAAGATCCTTTCCAAAGTTTAATATCGTTACAACAATTTCGGTCAAAGTTCAGATATATTTCAAATCCTTTTTCCCTTACAATTATCAATCAATTATGCACTCAAATCATTATGCAAATAAGAAAGATGGTCAGGATGCAATTAAATGTCCAAATTGAAATGTGGCCAAGAGATTTGATTTTGTATTTTTTATTAATTTTTAATAAGAGATATTATTTTTACATCTAAAACTAAACGAGTCTAAAAAGAATAGATTTTTTTCTTCAATTCCATTTATAGTGATTACAAGAGATAATTTCCACGTAATAAACTGGATTGAGTAAAAAAAATTCTTATAACTAATAAATTGGTGTGTAGTGGAAAATGATTATTGATATTACCATGCATGTACATGTCATGCCGACAGAAAATTTGGCAAGTCTTCCCATAGAATAATTACAACTATATATATATATATATATATATGCAAAGAAATGATAACTTAAGCTAAGAGCCAATATTAAAGTCAATCTATTTAAATTATTATTACACATAATTGATTGCATAAATATTTTTTACATTATATATATATACTCTCAATCGCCTTTTATACACTAACCATTTAAAAAACTAGAATGAAAGTAATATCACTAGAGTTAATTAACAGGGCGTGTCGTCTTACTATATCTACTTACAATTTTCATTAAATTTTAAAAAATAATCATATTCATAATAAATATTGTTAACTAATATATAGTGTAAAAATTCACTAAACATTGTACATAATTTTTATTTTTTTTGTTGAAAGCAATATGTTAGCCAAACAAATAGTATGTGTCCCATAAGTTTTACTTGATTAGGAAATACCCACTTATTTAAATGTGCTTAGTCCCTTTTACTTCCCACTAGTTTTCTTCTTCATTTCTCTCTCTCTTCAATTCTAGGGTTTCTAATTTTCTCTCTCAAAAAAAAAGAGAAAGAAACTCTACTAATTGCTAGCTAGCATGCTCTAACAAGAATCAAGTTACATAGCTTGAAAGACCTTGCAACTACCAAAAGGAAAATTTAAGGTATCTTTTTATTATTTCTTTAATTTATAGGGCTGATAGACCTATAAAATCCCTACAACGTGTAGATCGATCTGTTAGTAAGTAAGTTGAGTAGTTACTATTTTATTTTTTTTGTCAACATGTTTGAAGGACAATGATATGAAATTACATTAGGTATAGTGTGACTTTTTATTAGTTGATGTGAAAAAAAGACATGTTTTGCGGAAGTTTGCAGGTGGAATGTCGGATATATACTTTAAAGGCAGCATAGTAAGTTTACAATATGTTCCACTGTTTTGCTCCAAATTAAATTAAAATGGTCATGACTACCCAAGTACTCATACACATCACAATATATATAATTATATGTAGTGTGTTTTAGTAAATTGAGAAATCAAGATTACTGAGCATGATCTTTTTTATTTTTAATTTACAAAGTTTCCCTTGTGTGTTTTACAATGTCAAAATAAAGGGCTATTTTGATTAGACTAATATATTATGCATATCATTTGACTTTTGTGCAAAGGAATTTTTCAACATAAAAGAAATGGTCATGAGTTTAATTTACCTTAAAACCTTAAAGCTATGATCATATGAAACCTATTTCTTCCCTGATCCTAAAATACTTGGAGATTATTAAATATCACTCTTGTCCTTGAGAATTCATCATCTAAATACAGACATATATAGTTGCCTATTTAATCCCACTTCATCTACAACATTCGTACGTATAAATGATATTTTACACAATCAAGCTAAGGTACAAAAATAATTTGATGATGTAAAAAATATTTAATTGTCCGTGTACAGTTATAACTTCAATTCAAGTTAGAGGTACATAATGGCTTCTTCCAGTAGCTACTCCAACCCTCCATGTGCAGCTTGTAAATTTTTGAGAAGAAAGTGTCTACCAGGTTGCATCTTTGCTCCTTATTTTCCACCAGAAGAGCCACAAAAATTCGCAAATGTACACAAAATATTTGGTGCAAGCAATGTAAGTAAACTCCTCAATGAAATTCAAGCTCACCAGAGAGAAGACGCGGTTAATTCTCTTGCTTATGAAGCTGAAGCGCGTATGAAAGATCCAGTTTATGGTTGTGTTGGAGCTATCTCAGTTTTACAAAGACAAGTTTTACGCCTTCAGAAAGAACTTGATGCTACCAATGCTGATTTGATGAGATATGCTAGTAATCAACAGAGTAATAATAATTATAATTATGGGACAAGTCATGATGATCATCATCAAACTAATTATGGATTTTCTCCTAATACTACATGGAACAATAACCCTGAAGCAGATGATGATATACAGTAGCATGTGTAATTCATGTCCCAATTATGTACTTGTTTAATTTGTGTGATGCTATTGGTATATTTAGTTACTTGTTGATCATTTTTATTAATTGCTCCCTTTTGAATGGGCGATTAAGTGCATCTGTATTGTACAAAAACTGAATTATATGTATATGGATGTGATTTGGGTATTCATGTTAATTCTAAGTTTATATGTGCCAATCAATTTTTCGAATATTTCATATATCATTAGGTTAAGTTGACATACCATAACACATAAGGTTTGTCAAGACAAGTTTAAATATGATGATTTTGAAGAGAAAAAAAGAGGTACTAACTTGTTAATTGGTTAAATTAAATTGATAGTGTAAAACGTCTTTGCATTAATATATATTCCATATGTCCTTAATTACTTGTCCACATTTCTTTTTTAGTTGTCCCTAATTACTTGTCCATTTTGACAAATCAAGAAAGGACAAAAAAAATTTACCCATTATATCCTCAATTAATTACTTTTAAAAAGGTAGAACTTTTTGAAAATTTTAACTTTTTAATTTATCAACTTCATAATTAATAGGGATAAAATGATAAACTCACTATATCAATTATTATTTTCTTATTAAGTGTGTCAATTCAAAAATGAACAAGTAATTAGGGACATAGGGAAGTATAAAGTTACATACTTATTATTTTTTCACTTGGACTAATAAAACCACTAGAGATAGCTTCTTCTTTTTTTAATAAAAAAGATAGAGATGGAGAGGTTAGGATTATCAATAAGGATTATAGTGAAACATTAAGATTTATTCATTCATCGTTAGAATTTTGGATTCTTAACTAAAATGTTTTATCATGACTTCAAATTTAATCAGATTTTGATACGAATACCAAATATAAAAATACAAAAACATAAAAGAAAAAAGAAGAAGTTTATGATTGCGTTTGCTTTAACTATAGAGAGGACGTCCTAGTTATCTTCCACAGAGAAGTGCAGTAGTGGCCCATTGCTAGCAAAGTTCAAGACTAGCCGTCAGAATCTTGTACACTAATAAATCATCCCAAAAGCAATTTTGTTTCTTCTTTTAAACATCTGTCCTCCTTTTTTTTTTTTAATTATTGTATTACTCATAACTTAATTAAATAATCAACCCTCTTGTAGCAATGACTTGAGATATGTTTGGTACGGAGCAAAGAAAATAAGTGAAACTTTTACTTTATTTTTTAGTATTCGATAGGTAAGTAAAAAATTTATGATTAAATAATAGCTATTTCAATAAGAGCAAACCTCGTCTTTACTTCATTCCTCCTTTTATTTCTATCGAAAATGCTATGTCATATAATGATATATTTAAAAGATCTCAGTAAAATTTCTGACTATATAGTATGATGTGGATTTTTATCAATACTAATATGTGGATGGTAACATTTTGGCATCTTGAATTAAATAGTAGTAATATAGTATTATATTGTACAATATGGCACTGTCCTGGTCTAGATATAACAGTTGCCTATTTTTATAGGGTCCGGAAAAATATTGTTCTTCCATGTGAGATGAACCCATAATTATGTGAACCCACACATCTATAATCTATTCTAGCAGCTTGCGACAATTCTAATTCTTGTCCCCCCATCATTTTTCTTCCCTTGAAATAAATGATTTTTTAAAATTTACTATACATTATTTGTCCACTTTGAATTTCATACGTTCTTTAAAAAATAATAATTAATATAATTATTTATCATACTATTCATAACATCTAATGTTCAAGGTATAACAAGAAAAAATATTATTGTATTGAGTTTCTTGATATATTAAAAAATAATAAATAAAAATAAAAAAATATTTTATGAGATACTCTACTGGATAAATAAAAAATAAACAAGGGAGGAATGCTCTTTAATCTGTAGTCCTGTCTCGTCGAAGTTTATGTCTTTCAGATTGGATAAATTAACGGTGTAGAAATTAAGGAGATTTGGGATATTGTGTGGTTTGTTGAAAATCAAATACAAACACAAAGTCATCGTAGTAGAAACAATAAACAGTTAGCAGCTTACCATTTTATGTGAGATAATTTGATTCGGTACGAAGTTTTTTTTAAAAAAAGATTTTTAAAATTTATAATTCAAAATGAATGATAAAAATTTGTGTGACTGAAAATATTTCATTAAGGATAAAATAAAAATATGCTATGTGTCATGCAAAAGGGAAATTGAGGCGCATGCGCACGTAATATAAAAACTAAAAAGTTAAGTTAGGCCCCTTCCTTTACGATTATGCAGCCTACACGTACAGATATAGTTTAACCACAAAAAGAAAATGAAAGATTTTCAACCTTTTCCAAATTGAAGAATCCATCACATCCTTCGTTCATTTCCTCCTGTTTAAGATAGGCCCCTACTGACCGTCCAAAGATCCCCTTCTCCATTTCAGGTGACCTTTTACCTTCTACACCCTACTACTGCTATTTTTTTGGTGTCAGATAAAATTTTGCCCTTAATTAATTTTATAAATATTTATACGTATGGAATAACCTTTGTGTATATTTTGACTTTTTTCATCAAATAACTTTGTTAATTAAGATTTAAATATTTAGGTTATCTCCGCCCTATTACTGTAATAGTTTATAAGTCATATAAAATATGTAAATCGCATTACGCAAACTGAATTCAATCTTAGGTTTCCTAAATGAGATCGAGACCTACCTTCCAACCGCTCACCCATGCGCTTGCGGGTGAGCGCTTTTTCTTTATAAGGTAGAAAATGAAAGTTTCTTGAGTTCTATACTTCTATTGCCTTCTTTAATGTCAATTGGGTAAAATCCCCTCTACAGACCAGGCATGCGCAGTTTGACTTTGGTCAATGAATTCTTAACAAATTAGGAAATTAAAGTTTTTTACCTTATTGGGCCCAAACAAGACTTGGATTTAAAATGATCCAGTAAAAAACTGCAGCTCCAACTATAGTTTCATATTTTGATTTGATTGATTTGACAAGTTAAAGGCCCCATAGATACTCTATAATTTTTGTCGATCAAAAATAAATTTATAGTGAAACATAACTTATACTATGATATAAATACAATAATAATATAAAAATATAAACTTATGTTCCGTAAAAAAATAAAAAATATATATCTGTAGCTTTCAGCCCCTTTCACTGTCACTTCTCCTTTCTCTATTTCCCTTCCGTGTTTTTTGCCTTTTTGTCTTAGTGGAACTCTCTTTCCTTAACTAGTGAACAAACAAACAAACAGTGCACAAATTAAAATGTCTACACTACGTGTTACAGTTTAGTGACACTGATACAAGTCTTTCGTACAATATGTGTGGGTTCAATTTACGTTATTTTCTTCTTTCTTTTCCTTTCTAGATCTGTAATGTAATAAAAAAATTAATTAAATATGGGCATAGCGATAGCCATAGTATATAAGTGTAGAGTTTAGTGATAATGGATGAAGTGTAATTTTATACGGGCATCACAATAGCACTAGTGATGTGAGGAGTGTTGACCAACACTTCTTCATCGAAAAATTATACTATATATATATTAGGTTTCATATCTTACGAGGGCTATCCTATAATAATATTGTTTTTTTAGATTTATTATCACCCAAGTACTTGTAATTAGTAACAAGTAATTTCTACACTCCTTTTCCCACTGGAAATTTGCTTATTATGACAATGAACATTGGGCCTCAGTACTTGGGATTTTTCCTTGATTTCAAACATCAGGGTCAAAGCTCCAAAAGCCATATTGGGCTCCATACACTATAAGGCCCTTACATTCTATATGCCAAATGAATGAATATCTTATTATTATTTTTTGTATTCACTATAAATATATGCAAAAAAATAAATATTTAAAATTATTTATATACTATCTAAACAAATACTATAAGATGCGTTGGGGTTGAATAATAGGGGTGTGGTGTGGCGGAATTGGGGACTATTGGAGTGTGTAGGAGTAGGGAAGACACAATCAATGTAAATGTCACTCATAGAGCTTATTGTTTTTCCTACTTTTGTTAAGAAAGTTGTTTTTTTCATTTTTTTTAAAAAAGGACAAAAATATACTTTCAAAATTTTGATCAATGAAATGAAAAAATATTTTTGTCCACACCAATGCATCCTAAAATATGATATTAATTATTTAATTTTAGTAATTAAAGTAGAAAGTTACCTATCTTATATTTCAATAAAAAGAAAAAAAAGGGTGTGTTTCTGTAGTTGTTAAAATTTTTGAGGTGTCAATGAAACAAAATAAGGCAGCTAGTTTAGGCAGGCCCCATACGAAGGCGTTACAATTCACAATCCGAACATAACGAAGCTAGAAGTAAAAGAGACAAACTTTCTTCCTTGCAATGCAACTTGTTCCTCATGCACTCTTAATTCACATGCATTCCAACACGTTGCACTCTTTTCCCCCCTTTAAAACAACTAACATCAACCTCATCTCAACACATTAAAAAGAAATAAAAATTCAAATTATCTATTTTAATTTCACGACGACGATGGGTGACCGCCACGCACACGGCCAACATCAACTTCATGTTCAGCCACACCAGCAGCGCCTTCATCATGATGTTGGTGGAATGAAAAGTCAGAAAGGTCCTTCAGCTTCACAAATCCTTGCTATTGTAACTCTTCTACCTGTTGGTGGGACACTTCTTTGCCTTGCTGGCATTACTCTTGTTGGCACTTTAATTGGGCTTGCTGTTGCAACTCCAGTGTTTCTACTCTTTAGCCCAGTTCTTGTACCTGCTACTCTTACTCTTGGGCTTGCTGTTGCTGGCATTTTGACTTCTGGTGCTTTTGGTATTACTGGCCTTTCATCTTTCTCTTGGATCCTCAATTATTTCAGACAAGGTAAAAATACTTAAAAAGTTTTAAAGATACAGGTATTTTATTTTATTTGATTGGTAATCATTTTAATTTTTTTTTAGAACAAGGTTCTGAAATTATACTTGACAAAGTTCTTGCGACGAAAATATATGTGGCAAAGTTACTTTAGTCATGTAAAGG